CTGGAGGCTGGGCCGGGTCCTGCTCAGGCGGCCGCCGACGCCGAAAACTTTCCTCCGACCTGTAAAGCCAAAAAGACGGCGTCAGAGTCGCCCGGCCCGGTCCGGGGGGTCGCCGCAGCGCTCCCCGCCCTTCTTACCTTCCCCGCTGCAGCCGCCATAGTGACTGCAAACCTACCCGGTGCGGCGGCGGCGGCAGCCGGGGGGCGGGTGATGGTGGGGGGAGAGGGGGGGCAGCCGGGGGAGGGAGGAGCCGCTCGCACCCCGCCTGACCAAAGGAAAGGCCCCGCGCCCGCCTCCCGCTTTTTGCGCAGGCGCGGGTTCGGCAGGGCACAGGCGCGGGATTGTGGCGCCTGCGCGCTGAGTGCCGTGAAGCCGCGTCGGAGGTGGTGCCCGCACTTGCAGGGCTGCACTTCCGGGTGTTCCATGCGGCGGCGACGGGCCGCAGGTGCGGGGCGCGTGGCGGGGAGAGGGAGTGTCGATAGCCTCAGCTCTCTGCAAGCCGCCGGGGCTTGGGGCCGCTCTTCCACGTGGGGCCGAGGGGGCTGCTTCTTGTAACTAAACCAAGCGGACAGCGCAGCGGTGTTTGTTGTCTCCCCCGTCCAAGGCCCCGTCTTCTCCCTCGGGCTCTCGGCCTCGGCTCGGAGGGTTTGCTCTGCGCGGCTGCGAGGCGTGTCTCACTTTCGCAAAGCATTCGCCTATCTATTCGGCTGGGTCTTAACCCAATTAAAGTCCCAGATTGCAAGAGAGGGAGACGTGGGAAGGATAATTGCAGAGGCAGGGCTGAGCAGAGGACAGGAGAGGACAAAAAAATAAAAAGAGTTAGGTATCCACTGTGCAATACCCGCCTCTTACTCAGCATTTTCCGTTGGTAGATTATAAAGCAGGTCAATATGTATTTTCATTTTACAAAGAGAGGGAACAGGCCAAAGAGATTTGCTCAAAATCAAGTAAAATGCAGTGGTGGAACTGATCTCTCGAGTACTAGTTCGATGCTCTGTTCCATTGGCCATTGGGTCTCCCTGAGGCTCGCTGGCAGTTTGAGCGATACAGATAAAAAATGAAGTCCAGCCATCAGATAAGATCACCCTTCGACACAGTATGCAGAGGGGCAGTTAAGGATACAGTCCTGAGAGATGAAAGTGGAGGTCTGGCAGGAAAAATAAGAACAAGGAATGAAGAGAGAGAGGCCGCGAGCAATCAATGAGAGAGACTGGAAATGTGAAAAGTGTCAGAAGCCCAAGAGGAAGGAAGAGTGGTGGATAACTGTGTCAAGGGTAACAAAGGTCAAAACAGGATAAAAATGTCATGGGATATGGCAGAAAGAGAAGTCTTAGGGGAGGGAAGAGACCAAAAGCCAGGTAGCACCAAACCAATTACAGTGTTGGAAGCAGGGAAGTGATATCTAAGATGAGAAACAGGACTGCATAATTTTGAAGGCTAAAAGGGAAAAGTGATAGAGGGGTAACTGTACAAGAGGTATGAAACTATGGTAGTGATTTTCAAACTTCAAGACATTGCACTGTTTCCGAAACTCAAAAGCTTGTGGCATATAACATACAAAATTTTAATCAGTATATTTAAAATAGATGCTTATTTTGCTGACATATCTCAAATTTATCTGATTGTGACCCAGAACCCACAATCAGAAAATCAGTTTATTTAATGAGTGTCATTACGTAGGCTGTTTGTAGCAAGTCATGGGGAAAAGGAATCTTATAAGAGGATTAGGGACAGGGCGAGCGGAATTCAAATGTTACAGCAAATAGATTGGACGAAACAGATCGAGTCACTAGAAATAAATTAGGACATTTTGAAGGTGGGGAGAAAAGAAAAAGAGATGGTAGAAAGATGTATGCTCATGGTGCAAAGAATAGGACAGAAGTCCTGTGAGAACAAATCCTTTTAAATATTTGGAAGGATCTGGATTGATTGATTGAAAGGAAAGGGGGTTTGATGATGGACTCAAGGGGAAAAAAGTTCATGTTATATTCTGTGGAAGCGGGGAATAAAATGATTAGAGGACAGCAGAAATAAATGGAGAAATAACATGTTCTGATCACTATATGTATGTTTTACAATTACAGTTTTTAAAACCAAACACACACAGTGTTGTCTTATATTCTACATATTTTCCTTTTTACTTAAGTTGTTACTTAACGAACTGGAGAAAGTGGGATAGCAAAACAGCTTCTGGGGTCTTTGATACCTTTCAAAGTGTCCCTGTGACCAGCAAAAGGACCAGGTGGCTAGGCATCTTTAATGGGTGTCTGGTGCAGAATTTGCAACTGTAGATTAATTGCCAGGAGTAAAGATGACTTACAAGCACATGTTCAGTTCAGGCAAACTGTCAGTTGCCACAGATATGTAAGAGGTGAAATTTGACAACCATGTTAGATAAGGGCAGGAGGACCACATTCAGTGGCCATCATAGTTAAGGGCAGAAAGTCTATGTAAATGTTATATATGACAGCCATCATTGTTTAGGGCAAAGACAATTGTCAATAGCCATTTTGGATAAGGGAATGAAGGGCAAATCACCTTTACCCTTCTAGGGAGATGACCTGTGCCAGACTTGTGGAATGCAGCATCTTTGAGTCATGTGCATACCTGCCTAGCATTAGGACTTTGGCCTGAATGTCTGGAGAGTTTCTTAGGTCCTACAGAGTGCTCAACATTTAGAGAACTTTTTATTGCAGGGGTACAGCCATAAATTCCAAATTAACGAGGATCACTTGGGGGAAAGATTTGAACAGCACTGTGGACTAGGTGATAAAAAAAGTCAAAATAAATAACAGGATATATCAAGTATAGAAATTATCACTTGACACTTTGAATATATGGCAGGGAAATTATACTTACCCTGCCCTTTTCAAGTTGATACGTGGAAAAGTGCTGTCAGCTATATCCTGCCTAGATGGGAGTGGGCATCTTCAGTGGGAATTCCAGGAAAAGTTTCGATATAGAAAAGTTCTAGAGCCTCTGATATAAGGAACAGGATGGGAAATGATATTGGAAAATATTATGTTGCTATTAGATGAGCCAGTAATACACAGAATAATGTGTTCATTTTTTGTCATTCTATATCAAATAAAATAGAGCAGGACTGTGGCTATAGGGAACAGAGACATTCTAGAGAGACTATTTCCAGGAAATTAAACAGAGGCAATTGAGAGACTTCCAAATGACAAGAGACTGGAGAGATTGAAGAGACTGAGATTCATGTTGCCTCTAAGTCTAAAAGTAAAACACACTTTCACTTGTGTCAGTAGGGCCCGCCTGCTGTACTTGGGAAACTGCATCCCTTCTAGCATTCTGCTTTCCAAACCATTAAAACAACCATGGGCAGATATAGAATTTTGAAAAGGGGGTGCTGATGGTGAGGTGCATCATCCCACATACTTTTCTCTAGTTAAAAATAAATTAGAAGCTTTACTAATATGTCTAATAACTTGTGATAACTATAATTCAGTTTAAGATTCAAGAAAAATATAAGTTGAAAAATGTAAGTAACTTATATTCAAATGTAAGTTGGAGTGAGTTAAAAACTATCTTCAGAGCTGTGAAACAGGAGCTTCGTTACAGGAGCAGCAACTAATAGATGGTAGAATTGCAGAACAAATAATAACTTGATGAGTGGGATATCCAGACCTTTGTATCGGCACCAACGTAAAGAAAACTGATTGCGTCAGAAATTGGCCTGATGTGGCCGATAGTTTGGCCAATAAATTAGTAGATTAATAGATTATAAAGAAGAAAGGGACCTCAGAAGATCATTGGGTCCATCCCTCTGCACCAAACAGGGAAGACAATTGGGGTCAGGTGACCTCACCAAGGTGCCTGTCCAGTCTCCTTTCGAAGATCTCCAGCGTAGGGATTGCACCACCTTTGGAGGGAGCTTATTCCACACTCTGGACACACTAGTTCTGAAGTAGTTTTTCTTAGTGTTGAGCCTGAAATAGTCTTCCAGGAGTTTGTGACCATTACTTGTAGTTTTCCCCAGGGGTGCCCTGGTGAACAGTTGTTCACCGAGCCCTTGATATATGCCTCTGCTGTAACGGTAAGCTACTACCAAGTCCCCTCTCAGCCTTCTTTTTTTCAGGCTGAAGAGTCCCAGATCCCTCAGCCTTTCCTCGTATGGCTTGTCATGCAAGTCTCTGATCAAAGAGGTGGCCCTTCTCTGGACTCACTCAAGCTTTAGCACATCCTTGTTAAAATGTGGTGCCCAGAACTGGACTCAGTACTCCAGCTGCCGTTTCACCAATGCCGAGAAGAGTGGGAAAATCACTTCTTTGGTTGTGCTGGAGATGTATCAACTGATGCATGCGAGGGTATTATTGGCCCTGCTGGCTACAGCGTCGCATTGCTGGCTCCTATTCATACATATTACCCCTGTGCTCCTGACGCATGGGGGCTGCGCTCAAGGCTATGCTCGGGGCAGGAGGCGGTGGCACTGAGAGGGAAACCAGAGTGAAATTTGGGGTGTCTGCAGCCCCCCCCATAACCTCCCTCCTAGCACTGCCACCACCCTCCCTAAGTGCAACCCCAGTCCAATCCCCCCACCCACACGCCACGAAGAGTCCAGTGCAGCCCCAGCCCTCCCTGTCCCCCTC